CTGAGATGGCAGCAAGCACCCACCTGAGCAAGAGAAAAATATTTTGTCTAAGTGAAAGAAAGAACTAAATTATTATAAATCTTTTGAGAACTGTTTGGCTGCCATAGTTTCAATGCATTTTTTAGGACAAGGTTTGCGGGTACAGTTTTGGATTTTGTTTTCTGTCTTTAAAGCCTTGTGCCCATAAACCTGGGCTTTGTTTTCGAGAATGACTAGTGTTCCTCACATTTCACTTGTGTGTGCCTGTCTTAAGCCAGGTTTTCAAAAGCCTGATTGCCAGTGGAGCGACGCGCAGGGCTTGCTGGAAGAGAGAAGTTAGGAACACGGCTCCTGCCAAAATCAGCAGCCGTTTCTGAGACTCATGTCTGCGCGTCTGCCAAACCCAGCGACAACACGTAATCGCCCCCAGCACAGCAAACAGCAGCCACCGCATCCCAGCAACAAGGGCTGCAGCGTCCCCAGGCGTGGCCGCTGCTCCTGGCGGTTATCCTTCCACCTCGGAGCATCCCCCTCGCTCTCCAGCCCGGGCCGCAGGACTCACCACTCGCAGGTGCTCATCATCCCTGCGAGGCGTCTCGGCGGTCGGAGCGATGCCCGGCGAAGTGCTGGGGGTCGCGGGGGGCACAGCGAGAGGCAGCTAGCCCTGGTGGCAATCAACCAAAACGGTTCTGCTGAGCTTCACGCCGCTCCACATCGACCGGAGATCAGGCTCGCCACCTGAAAGCAGTGGTCTGATGTTGCCTTCCGTCTTACTGTAGGTGTGAGTCCTTCCCGTAGGCACCCCTTACACGGCCAGACCCTCCCCGCCGTTAGCACCGAGCTGAACGGCTTTACACACCCCTGCCTCGGTCAGATCTGATTCTCGACTGGATAGTGGCCCTGATAACCTGAACTGAAATTTATTCTTCTTGCTTTAATCCTCTTGCACGTTTCCTTTCTTTTTTAAATCCACAAAAAATATTTTATAGCTATAATCTGGAAAAAAAAATCCTGAAACATAGAAGAAAGTAACCAAAAGAAGGCCACGGGTTTGGTGTCAGGCTCTTGCATCAGTCAAGATCCAGACAGAAAGGTCAAGGCAGCACCTCTGCATTTGAAACAGCTTGGATTTAATTCTAGGTGAGTGCGTAAATCCTTTTGAAGTTACGGGGACTTAAGGCATACCATCAGAAAACACATATGCCCGAACTGGGCCCTTTTGGCCATAACGTTCAAGATATTTGTAATAAACGATGGCAATCGGGGGCATTCATTTTGTGAGCTTTCACTTGCAAAAAAGCGCTTTAAATTTTCACTGGATGCCTATGTACTTACTGTTTATAAAGGGCTGATACGGGGAGGTGTCTTCAACTCACGCTTTGACACGATGATTAAAGGAGCCATAATAATACGACTGATAGACTGATAGATAGATTGATAGTTAGAGCAAAGGCATTATCCATCCTCTGGACCAGATTCTACAATTTCCCCGACGACATATTTCTAAGAGTAATTCATCACAAGCTTTTCCGATAGCCTCACCAGTCACCTGCCAAATCCCACTTACCCAAACCGTTTGGCAACTGCCAAGCTAAAAGTCCATTTCCTGCTGGAATTTTCCCTTTCCTTTATTGAACTGCTCTGTCCCCAAGTATCTTTCTCAAACGGCTCTCCTTCTTACATGGCTCATTTCCTATTGTGGGGCAGGGGATGCTGCTGCAGCAGATAACGATCTGAAAAAAAGAGCTGTTCAAAAGGAAATTGCAAAATAAGACCCAAATCCAAATATCGGTAGCAGGCAGCTTCTTTGCTAAGGTGGGGGATGGCGAGATTGAGGAGATGATACGCATACGCGTATTGCAATATCTGTCTTGAAGATAAGAGCTAGTAAGATGCTGGCAGCACATGTACTTTTTTGGTGCATCAGGTAACTGGCTGCGAGCCTCCCTCCCGCCAGCCCCCAGGGGATTAACCCTTTCTCAAGCAAGACGCCCTGCGGAAACCAAGGCTTGTACCGAGCTCCTGCTCGGCTGGTTACCGAGTGGTGAATTCAAGATGTCTACACTCAGTCTAACGGTAAGTAAAATCACGTGAACCCCTCGAATTATTTTAATCCCATTTGAGTCAGGCCTTGCTGCCCCAGGTTATGGCCAAAGCTCAGGCTGGCAGCGACGCGCGCCGGCAGGCATCCCTCAGACGCGGACACCAAACCCAGCCCTCGTCCCGATGCTCGACCCCTCTGCTCCCCGAGGCATCGCGTGCGACGGCCGGCGGACAGCGATGCCCAGCGGTGTGTTACCTGGGGGAGCAGAGCCTTCTGCACCGTCCCTCTCCCGCAGGACCATGCGGTCTCGCTCTACCCCGATGGTGATGGCAGGAACGAGCCCACGCGAGGTTCCATGACGCTTCCCCTCTGTCAACCGGCTCATTTAAATATATTTGGGTGTTTCTTTGCTATTCTGCGGCCGCTTCTGCTCCAGGCCTAGGGACACTGCATCCCCCTGCACAGTTCTCCTCGGAGATGTCCCCGCTCTTGCGCCGTCTTCCAGCAGCTTCGTGCTCAAATGCAGCTGAGCTTCCCTGGAGCAAAGCAGTCCCTGAGGGCAGAGAGCTGTGCCCAGCAGCCATGGAGCTGGCTCAGCCCCGAGGAACACAGCTGCCACCCCAAAAGTGCTCTGGGTGCTTCCAAGTAGAAGTCTGCTATAGGGGTAAAACATTTTAAATCATAAGAGTGGTGGCCCCAGAGTCTGGCATGGCTTGCTGTCTGCTGGGGGGCAAATGGGCCTCCACCTGCCCGTTTTCTGGAAGAATTTTCCGGTCAGTAGTAACTTGCTGCTTCACTTCATAGCGGCAGGGTGCAGACGGCAGACCGGCAGACCTTCTCTCGTTGTCTGGCAGCAGATTTGGGGAGCGCTGGCCCGCTGCTCCATAGGACCTGATTTTGCAGCTCTTGCCCCACAGCAGCGTTTCGGTGCTGGAGATGCTCTGCAGCAGCTCGACCTCTCCTGTGCTTCTTCCCCAGCAGGAGATGGGCAGGGAGTGAGGGACCCCCCTTCTCATGGGGACCCTGACCCGCAGGGACGGTGCCCGCTGGCGTTTAGACACCTCCATCACCCCCAGGCTCCGGCAGCCATCCTCTCCCGGGGGGATTCCTAGCATCTCAGCGAATCCCACAGGACTTTCTGCAGGCAAAGGGAAACTGGTCTTGAGAAACTCGACCCAGCTGCCGGTGCCGTCGGGGTTCGTCCCAGGAGCCGCATGGCGAGCAGGGGTCCCCTGCCCGGCCCCCGCCGCAGGGCAGTCGCTGCCCACACTTCTCCCCATCCGCGGGACTGCACGGACCCCGCCACCCATCAGCCCCATCACAGGGGGATTTTAGTTCTGCTTTACCCACAGCGCCTGTGCCACTGGTAAATATTTAACTGAAACTTGCATGTTTTTATTTTTTTAAAAAGCGAGTGTTTGCTATTAGCGAGTTTCACTCTTTCAGGCTCTCGGTGATGTATAAACAGATTAAGGGGTGGAAGGAGCATTTGATAAACAGAGAAGAAAGGCTTTTCAGAAAATGCTGCTTGGCTGCGATTTGAATCAGTCAGAGCTAATCGTGGAAGTGGCTAAACTAAAGGAAATACAAAAAAAGAACACAGATAACGTATTTTCAGCCTGCAGGCAGGTTTCTTATAATGACTAACGCGCCCTACGCTGGGCTGGCGAGGGGCGTGTTGTCTGCACAAGGTGCATAACCTATTTCTAGCGGCGGGCAGGGACGGGCAGCGCTGCGAGGCGCGGGGCTTCGGGCAGTGAGCAGGCTGCAGCTCTGCCCCCTGCACGGGCAGCGCATTTCAAACATCGAGAAACAGCTGAACGTCCGTACGAGGCAAAGTCTTTTTTTCCCAGTTTTCTGGACAAATACAGCCCAGTCTTGCACTGGCTCCCAAGAGAAAAAAAAAACATTTTGTTTGACTCTAAATGAAACTTTTTATTTAACTTTAAGAATTTGGGCTTTACTATTACTTTTGAAATAACTAAATAAAAGTAGAAAAAAACACGCCTAGCTTCAACATTTTCTAAACAGCAGCTTTGGCCTCTTTATTTCTTTAATCTTCATATTTTAACGCTGAATCTACTGTCACGAGTTTGCAGATTATTATGATCCAATTGGGGATCTTTTCCACTAAATAAACCATTTTGCTTAACGTGTTCAGCCTGCCCGCACCACAGCTCACACTCACCTTTATCTCGGCAGCCCGACGGCCCTTCAGGCTGGATTTTCTTATAGGATTTTCGGGTTATAAACCATGTCCGTAACCATCGACTCGCTGCTGCCAGCTGCTCTGGCACTTGCTGCAAGAGGTTTTGGGTTAGGAAGTCGTTTGTTTTAAATCCCTGCTGTGAATATAAGATTAGGATGGGAAAAGAGGCCAGTACATTAAACTGCATCTTCAAAGGGAAATAGATAATAACGGTGTAAAATCTACTCTGTAAAAAAATCTGCAGCTGCCAGCCTGGGCATGAGGAAACACGGGGAACTGGC